GGGGGGGGTTCTAGGGGGAGGGGGGAGGGGGGAAATATAATATGTGTTAAATTCTAAAGTACATGATTGCACTTGTATACTGTGGCTTTTTAATGTTAGTGTTAAAATAGAACAAGCTGAATATATTGGAAGGTAATAGAGGTAAACCGAAGGGAGGAAAAAAAGAAAAAAAAAGAAAAAAAAAAGAAGGCGGAGACCGTGTTGCGTAAAACATTTCATGCAATAACCTGGGCCATTAGGGTGGCCGCTTCTGCGTCCTTTTTTAACAGATCCACTGTGCTGTGGCTGGAACAGCTGAGAGACAGAACACCGGCCACGGAGGTGCGACTGCTGCAGGACACCTCGAAGGTGCTGGCAGCCACGCAATTCTCTGCTGACGCCACCCTGGATGCAGTTAAGTATGCATCCCGAGTCTTATCTTCCTCCGTAGCGTCCAGGCACTTGCTGTGGTTGCGCCACTGGCAGGCGGAGTCCCGAGCCAAATGACACCTAGCAGGAGCAGACTACGCCGGGCACAAGCCATTCGGTGCATTGCTGGACCCGATTCTGGGGGAGGAGAAAAACAAAAAGAAGGTTCTCCCAGCCATGACCAGACGGTCGGATAACCGACACGCCCCCTACCCCAGGAGAACATCCTTCCGCCAGCCTGATTCGGACGCCCAGAGTCACAGGTACCAGACCCCCAGGTTTCACAGACAAGGGAATAGACAGTTTTGTAGGGACATATTCAGGGGCCAGCAGCAGGGCAAGCGGCCCTTTCGAGGAGGGAGTGGTCGCCCATTCTGCAGGTTCAAGTGATCCGGCCACGGATCACCCCATTGGTGGTCGCCTCTCCCTTTTCGCGGATGCCTGGGAACGCATCACCTCAGACGAGTGGGTCCTCCAGATGGTTAAGCTTGGGTTTCACTTGGAGTTCTGCTCGCAACCCCCTAACAGGTTCCACACCTTTGCCTCTTCTGCTGATCTGGCCAAACGGGTCCTTAAGGCTAAGGCCATCAAACACCTACTAGATATCAAGGCCATTGAGAAGGTCCCAGAGGGAGAGAGAGGTTCCGGATTCTACTCAAACCTGTTCCTGGTTCCCAAGAGTTCACGGGGGTAGAGAGCCATCCTGGATCTTAAACAGCTCAATACCAGAGTGGTCTACCATAGGTTCAAGATGGCTTCCCTGGAAGCCATCTTGGAAGGCATCTGACAGGGCAATTTCTTGGCCTCCATCGATCTCATGGAGGCCTACCTTCACATCAGAATCGCCCCGGAACATCGCAGGTTCCTTAGGTTTTCCCATGAGGGCAATCACTTTCAATATAGAGCCCTTCCCTTTGGGCTGGCCTCTGCCCCCAGGACCTTCACCAAGGTGCTAGCCGCAGCCGCAAGTCATCTGCGCTCCTTCCCAGTCAGACTGTTTTGTTACCTAGATGACATCCTTGTCCTAGCCAGGTCCCCAACCAAGGCTAGGCAGGACCTGGGGACCACCATCGACACTCTCAGGTCCCTGGGGTTCCCTATCAACCTAGAGAAGAGCCAGCTGGTTCCATCTACCAAGCTCCAGCACCTCGGATTTATTATAGATTCGGAGTCGGGTGAAGTGTTCCTTCCCCAGGAGCGGAAGGACAGCATTGTGCAGCTGATTCATGAAGTTTGTAAATTACGCTCTGTCCCTGTAGTTCTTCTTTCCAGGCTCCTTGGGAAATTCATTTCTTGTATAGGGATCGTGCCTTGGGCTCGCCTACACGCCAGGGAGCTGCAGTGGTTCCTGCTTCCATACCAGAAGGCGGGGACGAGCGACGCCAGATTCAAGATCCGAGTGTCGCCCCAAGTGCTGCTCTCATTCCGTTGGTGGCTGACCCCAGCACTGAGCAAGGGATCCCTCTTCAAGGAGCCAGCGAGGAAGATACTCACGACGGACGCGAGCCTGTTCGGCTGGGGAGCACACCTGGAAGCTCAGATAGCCCAGGGCCGCTGGACTCCAACAGATCTGCACAACAACATCAACTGGTTGGAG